TTAGGGTATAAGGTTTTAGGGTTTAGAGTTTAGGCAGAGTCTGAACCGTTAAACCCTACACTTCAGCCCTAAATCCCTACATCCCCGTATAGAACCCTTATCGAAGCTCTTACAAGAACCCAAAAAGAAACATGGTTGAAAATAAATGCTCAGCCCCCAACCCTAAATATCCTCAACTCTAAACTCCCATCCATAACCCTAAACCCTGAACCCCTAATCCCTTCAATAATCCCTAACCAAAAGCGCCCTAAACCCTAAACCCTAAACCCTAAACCCTAAACCCTAAACCCTAAATCCCTAACCTTGAGGCATCCAAAAACGCCCCCAGTTGCCCCAAAGCACCTGGAGCTGAGGAATGCTCCCCTGGAGCCTGAGAGCTGTCGGCGTCGCTTCTACTTGTAAGTAGGGCCAGAAGGGTCTAGGAGGGTTTAGGGTTTAGGGTTTAGGGTTCGGGTTTAGGATTTAGGATTTAGGGTTTAGGATTTAGGGTTTAGGGTTTAGGGTTTAGGAGTGTTTAGGGTTTAGGGTTTAGGGGTTAGGAGGGTTTAGGGTTTAGGGCTTAATTCGGGCAGTGTAGGGGCCTTAGTAATTGGAAATAGAGAAGCTGCGGGGCATCTTCTACTATAAGAAGTCTTATTTCGGAGCCCTAAGGCGTAATCATGGACCTATTCAGGCTCCTACCGCAAGGATATATGTAAGGAAGCTTCAGGATTAGGCTTCTTAGGGTTTAGGGTTTTGGGTTTAGGGTTTAGTAGGAAGGCTCAGAGCTCCAGGTGTTGGGATGTCGGGGTCGGGCTGAATTGGAGGGTCGCCTGTCATCGAGCCTCCTGCCTTGCAACGAGGGAATGGTGTCAGAAGGGTGCCAGGAGGAAGCATAAGTTCTTCAGAAACGCAGGATGGTTAGCCGTCTCTGCAGTTTAGGCTGATATGTTCCAGCTTTAGGACTTTAGAGTTTAGGGCTTGAGTGCCCTGAGCTCAACACCCTAAATGCCGTGCTGCAATCCCTTGCGTATTGACAATGCAATAACTTGCTAATGCCGAAAATGTCGGAAGCCTCAAAAGGTGGGATGAAGGTAGGTAGGATTAAGGATCCCTTTTTTAAGGACTATCTTTTGGGAATATCCCACCTTCCTTAATCCCACCTTTTGAGGCCTCCGAATGTCATGCGAAAACCCTAGCATGAGCTCCCGAAGCGCAAATTAGGCCAGCGGCACGAAGCCTGCCATGCGCCCCCACTGGAGAAGCCTCGCGCGTCGCAGGGTTTGGGCATACAGGAATTGAGTTTGGGATGCGGAGACCCTAAACCCTAAAACCTTATTAAGGGTTTAGACTTTCAGTTAAAGTCTAACCCCTATGTAAGCCCTAAACTCAAGGCAGGCCCTAAGCCGTCAGGGCTTTTCGAGGCAGGGTTTGGGGATTTTCGGTTGGGTTCCGTGCTAACGACACGAACACACCCTGCTGCCCTGCAACGGTACGGACACCACGACCCAATGCTATGCAATGCCCCCGCCCTAACCCCTGAAACCGAAAACCTACACCCTAAACGGCCCCAAAATCTAAACCCAAAACCTAAAGCCCCGAAGTCCTAAACCCTGCCTTTAAACCCCAAACTGCAAGACCCCTAAACCCCTAAGCCCTAATTCATAAACCTTAAACCCTAAACCCTAAAACCCCTAAACCCTAATCCCTAAACATTAAACCCTAAACCCCAAGACCCCTAAACCCCTAAACCCCTAATCCTGAACGCGAAACCCCCTGAACCCGAAGCCCTCAAGGCTCTTGGACAAAAGCGGAGGGCTTGAAGGGGATTCCTATTGAGGTTTAGGGTTTAGGTTTTAGGGTTTAGGGTTTAGGTTTTCGGCTTTAGGGTTCAGGGTTCAGTGTAGCTAAACGCCGTCCCCTTCTAGAACGCTTATAGATGCCTGATGAAACCGTTTACGGAGCTCTGTAGTTTAAGGAGCCCCATAAAATACTAAGCACCTGCAGCCTTAGGGTAGTTAGACTCCAACCTTAAGCCCCTAAGCCCGAAATATTGTATATACTCCGGGTTCACAGGGGCCCCTATAGAGGTACTTTACCCTAAGGGTCCATGTGCCCAAATCGTATATACTGTGGCCTTCAAGTCATAGGTACTTTGGGGCCAAAGTCTATACTATTTGGGTACATGGACCCTTAGGGCTAAGCCCTACGTACATGGGTAGTTCTCTAAATTAAGGTACCTTTTGAAGTCTCCAATCTAATACGGCACACGTATAAAGAGAGCCATAAAAAGGACCCTAATTAATAGAGCTACCCACATGGAGCCTTAGGGTAGCTGGCAGCCTCCAAGTTCCAGCTGTCATGGTAGAAAGCTGCAGCAGCCAATAGCTGTCCTCTCGCGAGTAGCCCTGAGAGTCTATGTATCCAATACGTTGGGCCCAAAGCACCTATAAGGGACTCACCCTAAACCCTAAACCCTAAACCCTAAACCCTAAACCCCTACTTTAAGGCCAGAGTATATACCAGTTGGGTACATGGACCCTTAGGGTAGGGTTTTGGTTATAGGAGTCTAAGGTGTAGGACTTTAGGCTTTAGGATTTAGGGTTTAGGGTTTAGGGTTTAGGGTTTAAGGATTTAGGGTGCAGTCGTTCAGTGCTGATAGAGGGTTTAGGATTTTCAGGGTTTTCTCAGCTCTCGCGAGTAGTTTTATCGGAACCGGGCTCTGCCAGGTGGGTTCCATACGACAACGCCATTGAGGAGCCATAAGAAATAATACTAGCAAATCTTCAAGTTCTATATTAAGTAAGGTTTTGGATTGCGCTGTTTTGATCCGCTCCAGCCGTACACCCCAACTCCTCAGCAGAAGCTCCGAGCGATACCTCCCATTTTTGACCGACCGCGCTAGCTCTATCGAGTCCCGGACCTGGGAAAACCTAAACCCTCAACACTAAACTCTACACCCTAAGCCTAAACACTAGACCCTAAGCCCTCAACCTAAACCCTAAACCCTAAACCCCAAACCCTGAACCCTAAAGAGGGAAACACCTGAGGAGGCTGCTGCCAGGAAGGGATGTCCTTGCTTTTCCTGCGCCAATTTGGATTATAGGATCCTTAAGGT